GCTTTATAAATCACAAAGACTCATAAAAGGCAGTCAAGCCAAGCTACCAGAAATGGCATGCCAAACTACGAAAAATCTCAAATTGATCAGAAAAACGTATAGAAGTCCTGTGTAGATTATGCTCTTGACATAAAGACACACTGTCCAAGCACCGCAATGTATCGAGCATTCCCTGTGATTCCTAACTGATAATTCCTTTCGACTATTTGGTCCCTTTGGCTGAAAGGCGTCGCTTGTTGGTGAATAGCACCTGTGAGGGTAGTCAGTGAAAAGACACTAAGCGGCTTCACTGAAGTCGGCCAACGCGATGATTTGTGCAAATGGCCAGCTTCCAGCTACAGCTGTGCTGCAGCGATTCCACCGTAATTATTTCAACAATTCTGCGAAACCTGACCTCTCCTGCACACTGACAGGTAATATAATTCCAGTACAACGATGAAGCGGCGTCTGTCCAAAGCGACAAATGTCATTTCCAGCGAACGGGAAGGGAACAAGTGAACGTTCAGATGAGGAGCGTGTACGGCATCAGTACCAGATGCGAATGGACGTTAGATTCGTAGGTGCAGGAAGTTGCTGCTTGCTGACAGTCGTCTGTCATCGAACATCACAGAACCAGTACTCGCGCAAAAAAGAAAAAAATAAATAGCGACGTGCACCAGACTAGCCGGTGCGATCAAGCGTTTTGTGCAATTCACCCCATCGAACGACTGCCTATTAATGATTTCCACTGCTTTGTACTTCTGTCTATGCAAAAATAGTTCAAACATTGGAAAATAGTCAAAAATTTCACGCATCAGCGCATGAAAGCTGAATTCGAAACCTTAAAGGGTGAAAATCTTTCTGTGAAATCTTTCCATGATTTAATAGTTTAACCGCCAAAATCCTCACGAGGCTGTAGGTGATACTCAACAGCGAGGGAACGCTGAATTTGAATGAGCAAGGTTGAGCGTGGGCAGGGGGTCATTACCCTAAAATTTCAGCCTCCTAGACTTCATGGTTCCTGAGATATTAATTTACCCGCAAAAAACTTTCACGGGGCTGTACGTGTTACCCGCGGGTACGAGAAGGCTGAATTTAGATTTGTCACGTCACCCGTTGGCGGGGAACACTATATCAAAATTTCAGTCGCCTAGTTTTTGTGGTTTCCAAGTTGAAAGTGCGGGACAAAATGTGGGACACACACAGACAGACAACCCCGTGACAATATGCATTTTGTAAAGTTGTTACACAGCACAAAAATCGACCACTACGGGGAAGTTCATAGATACGGTGAATATAGGAGCCAATTTGTGCGCACACCTTTAACATACACAGACGGCTTTACATCCGCAGAGTATGCACCTGGTGCAATTCGTCGCGACAGCATAAAATATCAGCTGCAGTTCGCAGCTGGTTTTCAGAACAGTCCATGGCAACTTTTCCAACTGTTTTTGACCAATACTGCCAGCCCGCTGGGAATACGGTAACCCCAATCAAGCTTTTTTATTTTCCAAGAATAACAAAAGAACAGACCTGGAGTCCGAAACCTGCACTTTCTTTGACAGCCCGAGATCAGCAATCTTTAGGGTCAGGCAACTCAACGCCGAACCACCGCATTCCTGGCATACACCATTTTTGGATTGTAGCGCATGAGCAAGTTGCTCTGCGGAGCTCGTTTCAACATTCAATAAGCAATCGCAGACTTTCTCCTTGATTAAAACTGAAATTTCTTTCCATATTTTTTTGAAAAAATAGATACAGCATAGTACAAGCCAAAAGAATTCAAAAATACTGTCGCTGCATTCCAAAATAACCCACCCAAACAGTGCAACTTCAGCCTTTCTATTTTTCCCAGATGTATATAACAGTAAGCGGGACTCATCATTTCCATGCGCCACACACTTACAATGAACAGTACCAACTGTTAAGAACTCCGGCCCGTAATGTACCAGTGGCGAATTCAGAAATGCAAAATCCCACCACAGCACTCATGAATATTCACCCGAAGCGAGTTATAAAATTGCGAGATCGTTAAGACTACCGAAACATGACAAATTGCGTTTTTCTCAAACAACTATTCTGTGACCTACATAAACAGATGGCAGGTGTGAAACGTAAAAAAAACCATTCCAATAACTGTTAAACGATTCTTATGAATATGCAGGTTAAAAAAAAAATGGCGGCAAGAAAATGAAGAGAG